GATAGGACATTTCCTGATGAAGCAGATGAACCCCATATGAAGCAGAAGCCAACGAGACGGCGACCAGTACGGAAGAAGATGCGTCCCATAAAATTAAGAGACTTTGTTGAATTGTAATTTTGTGTTTGTATTTCTATACATTTAATTAAGTTATTGTTAATTGTTATTGGTCTATTATAAGTGGCTATTGTTCGGGACGAACAATACTAAGGGGGGCAGTATTGCGTCAGCGAGGTCACGTGACTAGTATCACGCCACCTCTTTGTAGAAATATCCTGTTCCTTCAAGAATGCCCTAGCATTTACTAGATATGTGTTAGTCTTGTATATATAAGACGTTCACAACGTGACTGAACAACAGTGTAATGAGTAATTGAACTGCAGTCAGAGATTGTGTAATTGAACTGAGTATTGTCGAGCACGAGCACGTGAGACGTTCTAGCGACAGTTGAAAGTAAGTGTATCGGTAAAGTTGTATTTGGAAAGAATAAACCAGTTTTATTTAAGAAAGAACATGTGTCGTTAAAGTTTCGTTGGAACGAATTTACGGAAAATTAATCAACGAACGAACGGAGACGTAACAATATATATATATAACTTTTCATCTTCATAAGTATGCTGCACTCATAAAAGTGTTAGTTCTAAGCTTTAAAAAAAATAAGATAAAAAATGTTTTTTTTTACATGGTAGTAATTCTAACGCCGGAAACTTTTTATAATTGTGCGACGCGGGAAATATCGTTATTACTGGCGAAATGGGAAGTAGCAAGATTAAACAAGGTACTTTTCTAACAAAACAAAAAATAGGAAATGTACGAAATAATGAAAACAATGGATATCAGAAGGGCTCAATTGTCAGATTAAAGCTAGAAAACTTTCTGTAAGTATTTTGAATTTCACGTTTTAAAACTTTTTATATGATACTATCTGGCGATTATTATAAAGTACATACAAGTTAGGCTTAGCGTAACTACAGTCTAGCGTGAAATCTACATCGTGTAACATTGAAAGTGAGCAGAAAAATCTGTAGCATTCGACACTTTTAAAGTTGTATTCAGTTTGTAAAATAACACTAAAACTTACTTTGTTACATGTCACAGCTTTTACAGTAAGATTATTATTTTAAGAACACAAAAAATAATCTAACTATAGAAGCTGTAACTTGTAAAGTTATATTTTTTGTAATAAAATTAAAATGATAATCAGTAAGCTCAAAACGAAACTATTAACACCAAAGTTCTAAAGTTTAAATATTTTCAATTGAAATTTCAGCTTTTAAAATCAGTATATATATATTTTGCTAAGATTCCTTCTAAAACTACTTTTTAGTTTAAAATACTATTACTAAGTCTATATAAGTAGCTTATTACTATTAGTATTACTGATAATAATATTATTCAACTTCTTTAAAAGAAAATAATCAAAGATTTTCTGAAAAGTAGTGTTCCTTTAAGTAAGCTTTTCTCAAGAGTGGGTATACGAGAACAGCATTGAAATTTGAAAGATAAGATGGCCCCATGTTAATGTTAGTATGTTATTTTGTCTAATATGCTAACAGTGATAGTGGTATATCTTAGACTATGAATATTAATGTTACTGTTAGTAGTAGTATAATGGCAGTAATAACTATTATGTAGAATGCTGAAGTTACATATAATAGTTTAAACTCTGAATGCCAGTGTGACATGCCTAAAAATTGTTATAAGAAACATATTACATAAAAATGTTTAGGGACAAAAAGGACCTATTGATCCATCTCGGCTGTCCCATCCTCTAAACTAAACTAAAACTATTAAATAAATGAAGTAAAAAATACAAATCTTAAAGCCAGCCCTTATCATTAATATAGTTGTCAAGCTTTTTCTTAAACTTGCTGAAATTTACTGCTTCCACAACATATGAAGGCAACCCATTTTAAAGGCCAACCACCCTGTTAGAAAAATAAAACTGTCTCAGCTGAAGATGACTCCTATCTTGCCAAAATTTATATTTGTGTCCCCTAGTACTACAGTTCTCACCATTAAGTATGAAAAAGGTGATGCATCAACACTATCAATTCCCTTTACAATCTTAAACACCTTAATTAGATCCCCTCTAATTTTTCTTTTTTCAAGAGAAAACATTTTCAGAGATCTTAATATTTCTTCGTATGACAACCTTTCCATCACAGGCACCATTCTAGTAACCCTCCTCTGAACCATTTCCAACAATTCAATGTCTTTCCTAAGGTAAGGAGCCCAAGACTTTGATTCTATTCTTCTAAAAGTTACAGTTGATGTTTAAATGCAGAATTAGAGTAAGTTATGACGAAAACTCGCTGGTAGTTTAAATTTTCTTATTTTCATCATCATGGGAAACAAAAACAATCCTTTCCTTTGCATGTAGTTGGTAAGTGTATCAGTGAAGCTATGGAATAAATTTTCATGAAAAAATGTATATGTTTGTTTCTGTAGGGATGCTAGTTGCTGGAATTGCAAGATACTTAACTGCAAGTCTACTAAATTGTAGGTACAAATGGGCATTATCTGCCCAGAATTTCAGTGGTTTGTCTTGTAGATGAATAGAGTGAGTGGACATGTACCTATTCACTTGCTCTTGAGCAATCGTTTCAGTAGATTTCTGTACTACTGGAACTTTCTTATTCTTGTAAGTAGATGTCAGCAACTTCAAACTAGTAGTGGTATTTTGATTTGTTAGTAGTTCTTGAACTTCCTGGGCACTGAAACTACATGAAGGTGTACTGACTTTGCTTATTTCTTCTGAACAGCTTAGAGTTGTTGATGTCAACATCCAAATAACTTCATCCTTTATCATATTACATACTTTCCTTTTGCCATAGTGATTCAGGAAGACATATCTTTAAGTCTGGCATTCAGAAAGTACACTTCCATCAGAATGTTAACAGTGGCAGCTTATGTATATCCAATGGTGTAGTGAAAAATTTATAGTGCTGGAACCTTTTCAAAATTTTCAGACCTGTGAAAATCACAATAAGGATAAAGATCTCATAGGCTAATTTAAATTTTTTGAGTCCATTTTAAAGAAAGAAAATATACTGAACACTAATTATTTGAGACTACTTACATTATAGTCAAATTGAATATGCATATAATAGCAAGAGAAAACGTGTAACTCAACTTCCTTTAAATTAACCCATTAACTCAGTTGCCGTCTTCTGACTCACAGATAAAACTGAGTTGCCATCAATCACAATAAAATGGTAATTTTTATCATTCGCATAGAGTTATAGTTATATATGTGTGACTGACGGATATTTCGTCATTCGCAGCTGAGCCACAAAACTTCAATGACAGAAATATCCATCATCCGCAGTTTATGGGTTAAGCAGCAAGGTAAAAAAAAAACAACTGTGTACTAAATAAAAATCATTAACATTAAAACAAGTTTTAAAATTGCATATCTTATTAATTTATTATCTTTCAAACTGTGCTATAATATTAACAACGTTAATTTTTATGAAACCATGAGTACCTCCTTTTGTGCTAACACAAATAGCAAAAAAAAGTGACCATCTTATTAAGTGTTTGGTTATGAAAGACAATTTTAGGTGTAAATTGAATAATGTTTTTTTTTTATACATACATATTTTTAGTTTTTGAAGTATTGGGACTCAGCTTGAATTTTGGGTGCTGCAATGGTAGTTTGGTGCATTCCAGTAGCACAATACCTTGGTGTATATCTATTTTTATGATCCTCAAGCATTGCTTGTTTAACTTTTTCAACACGGGCTCGGTCTGAAGGACCGACCATTGTTACTTGTATATATTTTTAATATTATGACTTTTAATACAGTATGTGTACTTTCACAAAATTTGGCAGACTTTTACTAAACATTACATGTTGTTTGTACAAAACAAATCAGTTTTTTAATGAAGTATTTTTAGCTAACAATTAATTTGTCTGTGAATGAATTGGATATATATATTTTTTAATATTCCAAGAGCAAGTGATTTTTATGTAAAGATTAAAAGTACTTCTCATTGTCTCAAAAATCTCAACCTTCATTTTTATAATCACTAAAACCTCTTAAGTAAATATGAAACTTTGTTTATAATAGAACTTTATATTTCGTCTGTTGTTACCGCTACCTGAAGAGTATGTTTTATTCTTCAGCCAGTAGACAAATCATCAAAGTATGATGAAGAGAAAATTTTTAAAATCAGAAATAAAATGTGTGGCTTTGCCCTGTTTTCTTGATTATTGTTCATAAGATTTCAAAGTACTTCTCTTGAGAGTTTCGACTGCTAAGCATTTCACATTTATTTTCTATGTCTGCGACTGAAGTAGAAATCTGCTGAAAGTAAAGCAATAAATCGCTTCTTGTGTCAGTGGACTGTTTACGTAACACCATATGATACCTTTGAACGCAACAAAGTATGCACGAAGGGATAGCCGACTTGACCTCTGCTCCGAGAACAGGATGTCTAATGTATCTGCTTATATATCTTACAGTGTTTCCTAGGGAATTTAACCTTAGTAATCTCACTGCACTTAGAATCAGTGAAAACATTTATGCCTACAACAGGATATGAAATTTATCTGCTTATGTATGTATGTATCCTAAAGTGTTTTACAACAAGTATTCTCCTGAGCAATAAGACCACTTTGAATCTGTTAAAATGTTTATTCCATGGTTTAGTGCTGATACAATAAACATCACAATTCTTGGAATATTGGTAATCCTTTTGGGATGTTCGAAATTTAGAGGTATACTGTATATGTGTACAAAGATCTTATTGATGCACATGGTTGTGAATTCCTACTTCTCTTTCAGCAAACTTATTCATCAACCAATAAACATTCAGGTTTCAAATCCAGTTACTGTTTTGCAAACATTCAAATTCATTCAAGAACTCTCACTTTGGCTATTTCTCTGCACTTTGTTGGAAGATGTAGACGAATTGATACCAAGCAAATACATTCTACTTGAAGCATAATTCTTGCTACTGATGTTTTACCTATAAGTAAGTAATTATTATTTATAATACATTTGAAATCACTGTTCAATAGTTTTAGTATATAGTTGTTGACCAAAATACATTGTAGTTGTTTCTGTATTTTAGCATAAAATGTACTGCTTGTAAAGAACTAATACACATCATATTATAATTTTATACAACAGTGAATACATGATGCAAAATGTAATATATATTTAATGTTTTTTTCTTGTAGAAATGGAAGCTAAAAGGGAACTTGAGGTGAAGTTCCATGAATTCAGAAAGAAAAAGATTCTCAATGAGGAGGAGATGCAGTTTTTACTACAAAAGTGGCAGTTTGTCAAAGGAATCAACAGTTGAGGAAGCTGATGTTTCAGTTGCTGTACCCCTGACAGAATAAGTGTACAAAACAAGATAGCCTCAGACAGAACCAGCTTTTCTTGATTCTGTCTTATGGACAAATTAAAAGGTACCTGATGATGACAAAACCTCGTTGAAACGTTGTACATTTGCTGTTATGTTAAACTTATATTAAAGTTTTTCTTCATTACCCATTCAAGCCATCTCCAGCCATTATGACTCTAACTATGATATACTTTTTAAGGTTAGATTTATCATAGACCATCTGTTAAACTCTTTTGTTTCCCACTACTCTCCTAACAGAGAACTAACTACAGATAAACAGATGCTGGGCACAAAATATAGAATTGGTTTCTTTCAATATTTACCAAATAAACCTGTCAAGTGGGGAATCAATGTGTGGGTCCTGGCAGAAGCTATGAGTGGATACTGTCTGAAGTTTAAAATCTACACAGGCAAAGAGGGACAAATGCCAGCTAAAGGTTTAGCATACAGTGTTGTGATGGAACTGATGGACAAGTACAACAGACTAGGATACTGGGTTTTCATGGACAACTTTAACATTTTCCCTTGTTTATTAGACAAACTATTGACTATAGGAACCTATGCTTGTGGGAAAGACAGACTGTATTTCCCACAGCAACTTGTTTCTACAAACCTACAGAGAGGGGAAGCAGATTTTGTTTATGTGGAACTCTGACAGCTGTGAAGTGGACTGACATACGAGACATTTATGCACTTTCTACTTTACACTGTAATACTATGACGAGAAGAGGGAGGGATGCTGAGGTTACAAAACCTCAGTTAATTGTGGACTACAACAAGTTTATGGGAGGGGTGGACCTGAATGACCAACACTTAAGTTACTATTCTATTGGACAAAGAACAATAAAATTTTATAAAATTTGTTTATTTTTTTAACTTTTGGACTTGACATTTATAAATGCTTATATTTTGTACAAATGACAAACCAATCAGCTGGCATTATCTCAGAAGGCCTTCAAAATGGACCTGGTCACAACTCTTATTGAGCCTCTACTTCAAAGCAGACCAGGTCCTTCTGGTATACCACTATCAAGAACTGCACAGGACTCATCACCTCTGAGATTCACTCTTGGCAGGCATTAACCAACAACTGTTGATAGAAGTCACAGGAAGAGATGCAAACTGTGCCTCCCAGAAAATATAATAACAATCCAATGTAAACTGTGTAATGAATATCTCTGTATTAAATATTTTGAAGAGTAACATATTAATGTTACTCTTCAAAGATGTTAATTCTTTATCTATGCCTGCTCTCTTCCTTTGTTTAATTTTTTTTCTCTAAATATTTTAACGTTTGTATTTCAAAGTACAACAGTGGTTACTTTTTTACTTTAAATTTTGACTGAAATATTTTGTAAAGTTTTCTTTTGTTATTGATACAGTAGTGATGCTCCCTTTCATGTGTCAAAATCAGTTTACAATGTCTAAAATGTTTGTAGTAAAATACCAATGTAAACTTGTATTCATTGATACAGTCTTTCCTGTGCACAACATTAGGTATGTTTTCATTCCATTGTTGATCCTTTCATTCTGGTTGTTCCTTCTATCATGTGTCAACATTTGTATACATTTTGGTATGTTAGAATGTGTATAACTTGATATTAATTCATGCAATTTGTATGTGCATTATTCATCTTAAAGATGTATATCATTTGTACATAACTTTATTCTGCAGACGTGTAGTGTTGTATCTTTCTAAACTGTTATGAATAAAGCTTTTTGTAGGTTTTCTAGCTTCTAGTGTTGTATAGTTTGCTTTTATTTTACCTCAATTTAGACAATTAAAAGAATAATACATATTCATCAGGCATAACTATATGGACCTGCAAAGTCAAAGTACAAATCTCTAACTATAATACCAGAATTTTGCAAAATATAGGAAATTTCAGTTACCATATATTATATATATTGTTATTATTCATTCACAAATGCTTAAATTTTAGTTATTTTTCTTAAAACCTACAAGAATAAAAAAGATATACTTAAAAAAAAACATAGATTTCGAGTACTTATGGTGGTTACGAGACTGTGCTTGAGTGTTGCGTGTGCTAAGCCTCCTGAATGGAGGGTGTAGAGCTATTAATTTTTTTATACTTCAAATATACATATAAAAAAATCCACGTACTATATTAGTGCATAAAAACACCTGTAATTTATTTGGGTGTCTAAACAAGCTTTATATGAGTTTTAAAAAAATCACATTTCTCTTCAGAGCAACAACTTAGTCATCACACTTCAGCAGTTTGAGTGAAATTATGATTTTCTCCTTCAAGCTGTTTACAAGTGGCTATAAGATTTACAAACACATGTAACTACTCTTTCTATTGGTTTTAAATTCTTAGAAAAATAAAACTATGTGGGACTAGACAAGAGATTTTGAAAGAATGGAGTAGTGGGAGGAGCCAAACAACTAGATTGGCTAAATATACTTATATCCAGCAAATCAAAGAGGTAGGAGGTTCTTATTTTAAATGATAACTTGTAAATATCTCCAATTTGAGTTTCTAATTCGTTAACTACTGCACACTTTATGTGGTAGGTGTAATTAATTATAAATGGAACAATTATACAACAGGAAGTTCTATGTAACATGCAAAAAAATAATATTTATAGTTTTTTTTTATATTTCCTTTTAAAATGAGAAATTATAACATATATAATATTAAAATTTGAAATATAACCTTCATTTTGATGTGAATCCCTTTGATATAAGTAATAGCAAAGCTATTTAATAAACCTTTGAAAATAGCTCTCTAAAATGTCATGACATGCACCCTTTGACCTGCCTGTAGCAAAAGGGTTAATCTGTGTTATCACTGGAGTCACATATGACTTGTTTTAGGAGGATTTTTAAGTGATGCAGTGTAGGTAACAAACTTGATAAAGCAGCATAAAATTCATTGCTGAAGTTTTGAGTAAACTCTCAAAAAAGTTTAATCAGCTTTTCCCATATTGCTTATTTCTAATTCTAGCATTAACTCTGGTTTATTCAACTCCATTAGTGCCACACTTATGAGTTGTTGTTGCTCTACAGTTATCTTCAACATAGCATAAATGCTGTTCCACCTGGTTTTGCAATGGAGAATCAGATTGTGTTCTGTTAAACTAAGTTGTTTTTGTTTATTTACCAGACAATATTTGACAATAACACTACGATTGAAATGCACAGCCAACTTGAACAGCTTGTGATCACTTGGTCCATTCCTGCATTTAGTCTTTTCTTGATAACTAAGTTCAAGGTATGGCCAAAGCATGGTATTTACTTTTGATCCATGTTTCTAGCAGCTTTCACACAGTTGGAAGCAATGTTTGATACAATTACTTAAACCTTATTCTAGATCTTCCAACTTTCTAGACACTGTGTAACAGCTTGAGCTATAACTTTATCAGAGTGAGGTGGTGGAAGCTCACAGTTTTGATGAACATAGTTTTTCAAAACCAAGGTACTGGTCATTTGCTGTGGAGGTCCACATGCCAAAAGAAAATAGCACATCACCTGTCATAGAAAGTTGGACCATAACAACTGCTTGAATGCTGGTGTACAGTTTGGGATAAGATTCAAACTTAAGTTTTCCTTGACAGCATTTGGATTAAGAGATTCAAATAACATTACAAATCCACATTTTTCCACAGTTCACAACAGATGCATACCCTTAATTAGGTAGTTTACTAATATCTCAGTTACCTTTTTCTGCTTCATGTTCTCCTTAGGATACTTAGCTTTAGCTGCTAAAGACTTGTACGGTTGACTTTTATACAGATGTTGAACTTGCAACACTGGAACTCAGGCTTTGACAAATCCTGGTCATCAGTTCACCATGGTGACTGAAATTTCATCATGGCACCTAGTATTTTCTACCATTTTATTTGTGCATAGGGTTTTGCTGAATAGAACTCAAATCCAGAACAGTACTGGACTCTTGGAAGTTGGAACTATTTTCGGGTTTAATATATTTAACAGATGTACATTCAAGTTTTTTACCTTCAGTGTTTGGGTATTTTAACAATTCTCCGGAATTTCCATTAACTCTTCAATCATATCTAATAGCTTATCAATTAATTCAAGTATAAATAAACCTTTGGACATAATATTATAAATAAACATAACTAAACTAAGAGAGAGAGGTTAATTTTACTTGCACAGTATTTGAAGGGTGAAGATTCTTCTCTGAAGCTAGTACAGACACCTCTAGTTGAACTTTTTGAACTACATACTGCAAGAAAAGACTTCCATGGAAACAAAATCATTGTCTTTTCTGGAGTGAACTGATGATATCTCAAAATCATGACCTTATTTACTTAACAGACAGGATCTGGGGCATTGTTCTGAGAAGAACCAACATCATTACTTCAGTACATCATTCTAACTTTGGCTTTATTGTTTTGTGCATACTACTAAGATGCTGCTTTGGTTATACACATGTTACCAAAGCTTTTGTTTTTCCTCAGTTTTCTTGGAATTTGGTGTGTTCTTCTCTGTATCTCTAGTATGGCTAGAAATCCAGGCCATTTGACCTCTGGTCTACACATATTCTTTTTATATAAACATCTATTCTGTGTAGAGCTTGAGTTTTCTGTTATGATTAGAATACTTCTTGAACTCTGAACTCTTTCCAGACATGGTATGTGATTTTTAATGAGGCATTGTGACTTCTTCTCCACTTGTTGATTTATTAGCATTTGTTTTGTACTGAGAAAAATGAACTGTTAGTTTCTTTGTACCTATTATTACAGTCCTAGAATGTTAAGCAAATGTGTGCCTGTTTGAGTTCTTTCATAACTTTGGTTATGTATTGAACTTATTGAAGCTTGCTGATTGATGTCAGCCAGAAGTGTGGTACCTATAACTGCATAGTTACTCAAATGGCTTGTAAGCAAGGGAAACAAATAATCATAAATAAATTTTATTAGGCATATACATATTTAGCTAAAGTTAAAGTTAAACAATTTCTAAGTAGCCTAAATTTCATGTAAAACATAATAAAAATTAGAATAACATCAGTTTATTTTGTAAAATAGGACTTTTGATAGTCATAATTTTATCTTACAAAGTTTGAAAACTATTAGGGAATAAATAAGGATGTTTAGAACATATTTTATGTTGTATTACATAAAAAGAACCCAGTAATTATTTCTTGTTACATCTACACTTTAGGAACACAGTGCTTCTATTTTTTTTGTTTTATTAAAAGTTCCTGCATATATAACAAGGAATTCTGCAAAAATGTGACATGTGAATTTAATATGCATAAATTGTACAATACTGGCTGGAATAAACTGTCAAACACACGTGTGCTGAGAAATCACTAAGACAACTTGTATATATTAGCATCACTATATACTAGGACGTGTCCAAGCTGAATATGACTACATCCAGACTTTTCACTTTTCTTTGTTTCCTCCAACGTACCTGTAGTAGAGGTAGTCATAATATAACTGGTGAAATATAACCTGGTGAAACATTGTAACCATAAATATTATACTTTGTATATCCAATAATAAACATGTTTTAAGTTTTACATAACAGGATAATTATTTGGTCTTACATTTTATTGATTTGTTAGTTTACTATAAGATACAAATTAGGCAATGTCTAGTAATTAAACTTGATTAGTGAATTTACATTTCAAATTTATCACATTGTCAAAAGGCTGGCATGAAGAAATGGATAAAGAATATTGCTTTGGAGTTGGGGAGGGATTGTAGAATTGTTAATGTTTGGCCCATGATCAGAAAGTTCAGTGTTTCAGAAGTGCTAGTGCCTGTTATAACTTTCACCAGAACACAAATTCAGGAAAATAAGAGTTATAGTGTTACAAACATAATACATAGAAAGTGTAAAAAGAAGAAACTTTATAGTTTATTTGACACTAAAGGGTAAACTTATGCTGATTAAAAAAAATATAATACAATGCAAAAAATGGAGTTTACAATTTACATTTCATCAGGGATGGTTTCATAGCTTTGTAGGAGGGGGTACAACTAGACGTTTTACCAGCAGTACTTATAAATTTACATTAATGTCTGTGGTATTGTTAAATATGGAGGCAGGTCCAGACCTCCAGAATTAGATTCACACCTGCTTATACAAAAAAATAGTTCTTAACAGGGTTCTAGTTAACCAGAACTCCCAGGTCCTCTACGGACGAGAATTTGTTGGAACGCGTGAGATTTGACATCATCGATACCGAATACGCACCTCAAAACACTCCACACTCAAGACAAGCACAAGTACTTTGCTTCAAACTTTGTAGCATAACGAACTAAACAGCATATAGTTTGCACACAGCTATCTGCCATCAACTTCTAGCATGTTTAATCAATGACGATAAATTGCATGAAAATAAAGCCATGTGAAAGTACCACATGATTAACCCATTCACCTTGAGTAGATCAAAGTGCACATTTTACATTTCACAGAGTTACATTCAAAATTTAATTAAACTACTTTATTATCAATGTATATGAATAAACTGGGCTTCATAACATAGTTCTTAATTTTATAAGAAAATATTAAAAAAATTGTCAATCTCCCCTTGTATGAAAATTTTTACATTTGTTATCTATGTATTCTCTCTTCTCTAATTTTTTTATCACCCCTCCAAGAAGTATGAAATTTAACATAAATTACTAACTATAATGTTTTACTCACTCAGGCAAAGCATAATTTACATAGTCTTCTATCTTATTTAGTTACAGAGTAATAAAATAGAAAATCAGACCCCTCTTGTCATGCCT